ACCTCTCAAATAAACTAAACATATTTTACTTAAATAGAGCTCTAATTACAGTACACTTAAATAATCTTATTTAAGATACATTCAATAAAATCCTAATATAAATTATCATTTTTAAACAAATAAATAAACATACCAACTATTGCGGCGTTTTAAATGTATCGTCGTGATGCTTATAAACTGTATGAACGTTTTAAATTTGTTTTGATCATTGCATTTCCGCCCAGATAAAATATGACGTAACGCGGCGTCTTAAGCCGCGCCAAACGTTAACGTTAAATTTGGTAACAAAAAATGTCACTAAATAAGAAAACGATATTATGTGAATAAAAAAGATGTAAGAAAGAGAAAAAATGTAACTATGTAACACAATATATAATGTTAATCTTAATAAATTCAAAGAAGAATTTAATAGACGCCCTTTGATGCTTTGCAATGTCTTCCTTGTTATGTAATAGATATACCATTGCTGCGTTGACGATTTCTGGGTTTGCGTAAATTATACCAAAATCACGTGACCTTTATTAATGGTATATATAATAGATATACCATTGCTGCGTTGACGATTTCTGGGTTTGCGTAAATTATACCATAATCACGTGACTTTTCTTATGCCTGAACCTCACGAGACGAAGTCGAGTGAGGTTGCATAAGAAAGGTCACGTGATTATAGTATAATTTACGCAAACCCAGAAATCGTCAACGCACCAATGGTGTATCTGTTTTCACCTATAGCTCCGCCCAGAAACACTTACTCCTTCGATCTTCAAAACTGAAAATTATACCATAGTCTGGGTATGGTATAATTTACGGTTATTGGAAATTATACTTGGAAGAATTTTACATAAGAAGCGCTGAAGAGCTATAGGTTAAATCATGATATACCATTAATAAAGGTCACGTGATGTAAAATTCTTCCAAGTATAATTTCCAATAACCTTAAATTATACCATACCCAGACTATGGTATAATTTTCAGTTTTGAAGATCCATGATTAGGTGTTGATATTTGTGGAAAATGAGTAGCATTACAGGTGAAAAAGAAAATGTACATGCTTTGATATTTTTATCATCTAATATTACTGACTACAGTAGTGACACAAACAAAACAATGTTGCACTGCTCTCAAGTCACATTACAAGTCTTGTTGGAATTACTTTCCCTTAGCAGGTAGGCATCAGTAAAAGCGTACTTTTTTTAAATTTAATATCTAGTCCCTCTCTCATGGACAGTGCATACGATAAGTAGAATTATGCAAATTTAAATGATTTACAAAACATCCGGAATAATGTACAATAGTATTTAATCTAAATAGAACATGATCTATGTGTAGGAATGATTTGGTAGGGTATCTGTAATGTGCTCCTCAAATGGTGTATTACAGCAACAATTAAAAAATAAAACATGGCCTTATGGGCAATGTGCAAGTTTACGGACTGGTTGGTCAGACTGAGGAAGTTATATGGCCCGAAGCGCAGCTGAGGGACATATAACTTCCGAGGTCTGACCAACCACTCCGTAAACTTGCATTTTGCACGAAAAGCCATGTTTTATTTGTTATTCTATACCGAATCTAAACTCTTTCGTCCCTTTTGCTGCTGTCATTTTTACTATAATTTGCTTTCAAATAATAAGTTATTTGTTCAGTGTGTGACATATCTCAATCCCTAGTCGAATTTTTTATTATTATTTTCAAGATTTTCAAGCTATACAGCAAAAAAATCATGCTCTTCTTTTGTTATTCAAATTTTTGTTAATCAAATTAAACTGGCAAAAAACCCGAACTTTCAGATTTTCACAAACTGTATTAATAAAATTTATAATTAATTTAAAGACAAATCATGACTTTTGATCAACATGTAATAAATTTATGTGAAACAAAACAATAAATTTAGTAAAAAGACTCATTTATCAACAAAATAAAATATTATACCTCATTTGCATACGCCCTTTTGTATTTAATATGACGTCATCCGGTCCATATAAGAATTATGGACCGCCCCCGGTCTGTATGCGGTTTATGGACCGGATGACGTCATATTAAATATAGAAGGGCGTATGCAAATGAGGTAATATATTTAACAAATAAAGCATGGCCTTGAGAACAATATGCAAGTTAACGGACTGGTTGGTCAGACTGAGGAAGGCATATGGCCCGAAGCGCAGCTGAGGGCCATATACCTTCCGAGGTCTGACCAACCAGTCCGTAAACTTGCATTTTGCCCTCAAGGCCATGTTTTATTTGTTATATTATACCGAATTTAATCCTTTTATTCCTTTGTTTTTTTTTGCTGTAATTTTTACAATTATTTGCTTTTAAATAATAATTTTAATTGTTCAGTTCAATATCTCAAACCCTTGTCGGATTCTGTTTTATTATTTTCAAGCGATGCAGCAAAGAATCATGCTCATCTTTTAATATTGCATTTTATTAATTAAATTAAATAAATCTCTGATAAAGAGGGGAATCGTTTAGCCATTTTGACAGTTATCGCCTGTTTTGTGTCGTGAAATTCGCACGTCGTGAAAGTTACATTTTAACGGTCTTCATAAGATTTATGGACCGACCCCGGTCTGTATGCGGTTTATGGACCGGATGACGTCATATTAAATATAGAAGGGCGTATGCAAATGAGGTATAATATTTGTACTTGTATGTATTGGGATTACAACAACATTTGCACTTGTATGTATTTGGATTACAACAACATTTGTACTTGTATGTATTTGGATTTTTCGTAGAGAAACCATCTCGCGCTTTCGTTGAGAAACAAATGTCGTTACTCGCGCCAGGACCCAGTGCTATCGAGTGGAGAGAGTTTCAGTACTCAGCAATGTATTTGCTAAATATCAAAATATTGTTCTCTTTTTCAGGTGTACTACGATAGGAAAGCTAAAATTGTTCGTTATTTATATACATCGTTATTTAGTTCAAATCTCATGTTTGTAATACAAGATTTTAACACAGGTATATTGTTATTCTGTTAAATTTTACAGATTTATATATATTTCCCCGAAGTAACTAGTTCGCTGTCCTGAAGTTGGCTATTTCACTTTAAAAGTTCTTTCGTTTTAGTAGACCTTATAACTTGACGTATTGTTTTATATCTATTAACATTAATTTGTAAAAATATTTTCAAACTTCATTCAGTGTTTAAAGCCACTCGCCTCCAGATGGCAGAATGAAAAAAAAAGAAATAAAACAAAATCCAAAGTAAACGGTAAAAACTGGTTTAGTTAGGTTTATTACCAAAATCCATTATCATTGAAACATGTTGACTAAATATCGTGATCCTTCTTTGCATAATCTAAGTACTGCGTTACTAACGCAGTAGCCAATATAAGTAGGGGTGATAATTTATTCAACATGGTCACGTATCAAAAAAGTTGTGCGGAAAAATCCAGGAATCTGGTACGCACGGGTCATATATCAATGTTCGTTCATGAGTAGGCACTATATTCGTTTTTCAAACTATATACTGTCATCATATACGTACATATATGCACAGGAAATTGACGTTCTATAAACATGCTGCCCTCGCACATAAACCACGACCTTACTGCGACCTGAAAACTAGTAAAATAGCATTTTTCTTTCGAAAATCGTTGGTTTTCTTTCAAATTTCGAAATTTCTCTCGCAGACGGTCCGGGGCTCTGCAGTCTTGTGTTCAGTACGTTTTCTCTATGTCCTCAATACGACCCTTCTACGTCCATGGCGTTTCCACTGCGACTGTATTGCGTCCCCAAGGCGACCCCACGGCGATCATCGGCGACCCAGCTGCGACTGTGCTGTGTTCTCTGCGTCCTTACGGCGACTCTACGACGACTATTGCGTTTGTCCGGCGACTGTCCTGCGACTGTACGACGACCCTACTACGTTCTTGCTACGTCGAATAAAAACAATACTTTTTACCAGTAAATTTCATTCTGAGTCTGACGACATATATTTAATTAGTATTAAGTTAAATCATCCATATTATTCCAAAGATGAGAGGCGGACGAGGCAAAAGAGCGAGGGTCTCTAAAGTGCTACAAGTTGACCCAGTCGCCGCTTCAGATATGCAGTTTGGTAGTGGTTCACAGTGTGTAGAAATCGCGGCTTCATCCACTGGCGGAGACGCATACAAACAGTCTTCTAGTGGTCCACAGTCTGTTGAAACAGCGGCACCGCTATCAGACCAAGTCTCCGAGTCGGACACTCAATCTACCAGTGGTGAACAGTGTTACAGTTCTTCAAAGGCAAATAAGTCCAGGTTGATGATGAGAAGTGACCTCACAGCTGAAGATGAAGAATCCATGGTCGAGTGGTTGAGAGAAAACCCGCATGGCATCAGACATGTAGCCGTCTCCTCCAACATCTATCCACAAGAATTTGTAGTCGGCATCTGCTAGCGCCATTAACACAATGGTAAAGAACCCCTTGTAGTTATGATACAGGCTTCCACTGTCAGGCGGCTTTCTTATGGCTACATGTTTCCCATCTAGCGCACCACATGCATGAGGGACGTTGCACCAACGCTCGAAGCCTTGTGCCACTTCTATCCATTCTTCAGGAGTGGTGGGACACTTCATTACTTCGTCCTTGAACACGTCTACAATGACTTGACAGACTTCCTTAACAATGACAATTATCGTGTTATCCGGCAGCCGGAGCCAGAGTTACTGCCAGCTTTGTCCCCGGATCGATAGCTTTCCTCAAGTGCGTATCCTGCTTTGTGATATTTGGGCGAAGTCTAGACAACAGTTCATCAAACATTTGTGGTGGGAGACGAAAGAAGTTGTGGAATGAGGCAGGATCTTCCAGCCTAAGCTCAGGTACAAGACGGCTGTAGTGGCCAAACAGTTCTCTCCGTACTTCCCCTAGCCATGGCCTCACCCAACATCGTCTCCGCCTGGCCCTTCTCCTTTGTCTAAGTAATAGATATACCATTGCTGCGTTGACGATTTCTGGGTTTGCGTAAATTATACCATAATCACGTGACCTTTCTTATGCCTTGACCTCGCGAGACGAAGTCGAGTGAGGTTGCATAAAAAAGGTTTCTGGGTTTGCGTAAATTATACCATAATCACGTGACCTTTCTTATGCCTTGACCTCACGAGACGAAGTCGAGTGAGGTTGCATAAAAAAGGTCACGTGATTATGGTATAATTTACGCAAACCCAGAAATCGTCTATGCACTAATGGTGTATCTGTTTTAACCTATAGCTCCGCCCAGAAACACTTACTCCTTCGATGAAAATTATACCATAGTCTGGGTATGGTATAATTTACGGCTATTGGAAATTATACTTGGAAGAATTTTACATATAAAAGCGCTGAAGAGCTATAGGTTAAGCACACTTAAACAAGCTGATGGTCAATATCATGTTGCTCCTGAACAAGAATCATGTATTGAGCCAGTATTACATTATCCATTTTCACACACCGATGTTAAAGCACTGACTGCTGAAAGCGAACTGAAATTCTAGATTTTTAAGCAAAAGTCTAATGAAAATGGTAATCGTACTAGGGTCGCACTAGAAACGCAGTGCAGCCGTACAAAGGTCGCCATAGTCGCAGTACAATCGCCGTAGAGTTGCAATGGACGCAGAAGGGACGCACTAAGGACGTAGTAAGATCGCAGAATTTTTCTTATTTTCTGTTCTAATAGCACTGAAGTCGCACCAAGAACGCCAAGGATGTAGTAAGAACGTGGTAAGGACGCAATAGTCGCAGCAAGGACGCAGTAGCGTCGCCAAAGGTTTCCGAGCAATTTCTTTTAATTTCATCGGTGACTCTACGGCGTCCTTAGTACGAGTGAACTAATTCTATTATGTTCTTACTGCGCCCTTACTACGATGCTGCTGCGACTATGGCAACTCTACTGCGATCCCACGGCGACCTAACCAGGACTCAGCAAGAACGCAGAGTTTCTGCGACTGTTTTGTGCATGTTCAAAATAGTCGCCGACGGTCTGCGACCTTGTGCGTCCTAGGGTTCCTCGCTACGACCTCGCTGAGTCCCTGCTGCGTCCATGGCGACTGTGCTGCGTCCTGGGTCGTAGCAAGGTCGCAGTAAGGACGCAGTAAATAATTAAAGAATAAGGCAAATATACCCCTCTATACTATAAATATTTATAGTATAGAGGGGTATATTTTCCTTTTTTTTAAAAAGATTGCATATATTTTTCAATTATTGATAAAATGTCAATCTCCTGTGATATATGATATGATCAATCAATTATTATTTTAGTGCCAAAATATATAACAAATATCATAACCAACGCAGTTATCCGTGTTCCTCTATGTTTGGAATCACAGGTAGCGGTATTGTCCTGTACCATCAACTGATAGATGAAAGAATAAAAGAAGGTGTATCCCGTAGGCGAAAAGGCGATCTTTTCTTGAAGAAAATATGTCAAAATACGAACATTTTAAAATGTCATGAACTAAATGATGTTTTAAGGATAAGTATTAGACAGCATTTTTCTGTTATCTTCTGGAGGCGTGCTACTTTAAACACCATGTTTAGTAATGCAGGTTTTTTGTACCTCTTAAAACGTGATTTGTTTCAGAATTTCTAATTAATGGAGTCTGTTTATTATAAAGGAAACTCGTATACTGTTGACACTGAAAGAGGTAACTGTACTATATCCCCTATAAGTAATACATCGTTTTCAACAACAAGTTTGAACAACAAACACTTCCGAATGAGGACTGCCCAAGAACTATTTTTCCTTGACAACACAACTTATGCATACACTGGGACGGTAACTAATGTATTTTGTTGTTATAAAAAATGGTGCTATGTTAGGTAAAATATTGCATGTTTGTAACTTAACGCTATAGATCTATATACACATACGCCACCTGTTACAAAGTGGGACATTATTATCACTCTGACAACATATCCGCCATTCGTCTGTCCGGGTCAACATCCAATGGCTTATGAGCTTTATTCCATCTTTAATATAAGTTTCAAAAAAGAGGGAAACCCTTTAACTCGTCAATTTAAGTTCAAATAAAGATAAAAGAAAACGACCATAAGCCCAAAATATTTAAATCTCGGTACGTCCATCCTGACCTCATTTAAACATCGTCTCCTTGTAAACCACTAGCCTAATATCAATATATTGATTTTATAACACATACAATAACAACGACAATAACAACAACAATAGCCGCTATTCGGTGAAGATGTTGGTTTTCTTTGTATATGTAAATGGAAAACAGGGGAGATATTTTTCTAAAAATGTTTTATATATTTCAATAGATATATCTAACAACTGTTGAACGCCTACCAACATTGTTTAAATTATTTTGATTTAATCACTGGAAGTGGGGTGGCTTTTTTCGAAACATATTTGTGAATTGCGAAATTTCGGAAATCTTCGTCAAATTTTGCACTATTGTTCAAATTAATTTCATTTGAGCATAGTTCCTTGGTTCTTGTTCTCTATTTGTACCAAGGGAAACGTTTAAAACTCTTACTTGTAAAGAAACTGTTTGCTAAAATTTGATGTCAATGCCATAGGTGACCATCTACCAATATTGTTAAAATAATCAAAATACGGATCTCGCCAACAATGGCATGTTCCCATATCGCTGCTTTGTCGGCTCAAGGTCAAGGTCACTCTTGAAGATCAAATTTCGGAAAAGTTCATGTCCATTCTATTTATCCTTTACTATGGCCACTCGAAGGATTTTCTTCAATTATCTATCAACAAGCGCATGTGCAGATTCCATGTCGCCGCAATGCGGCCGCAATGTCAAAGTCGATATTAGACATCCCGAATGCTTACCTCGTAAAATATGATGTTCAAAACAATTTTGAAGCTGTGCCAGCTCAAGGTTAAGGTCACTCCTGATACATATCTAGTTTAATCAAGGCATATAGGAATAAATGGAGGCTTGAGTAATGTACCCGAGAACGACTTCTCCACGTTTATTATTAACAACCTCTTCTAGATTGATCAAGTCAAATAGTTTTATTAACAAAATAGTCTCAATATTTTCATGTAGTTTTATGATATAATTTTGTTTGTGTTATTTTTATTCTCAGAAAACTATACGGGGGATATTATGCGACGTCTTCATCTCGCGGAACACATATCTTCATTTCCCAGGTTATCCTAAGTTCAATTCAACATTCGAGATGTATTTCACACATGTAAGTTATTCAATAAATATTCACGACGCAAATAGGATATTTAAGTTGCTTTCTTACTTTCGTACTAAACACAGTCACAATGCATTTATAATATGTAAGACCCATGTCAGATAAGAAGCTTCTAAGCTGACGTATCCATCACAGACACAACACATATAAGATATGTTAGAAACTTCAATACAAATGTACACGTCACAGACACAACACATATAAGATATGCCAGAAACTTCAATACTAATGCACACGTCACAGACACAACACATATAAGATATGCTAAAAACTTTAATACAAATGTACACGTCACATACACAACACATATATGATATGTTAGAAATTTCAAAACTAATGTACACGTCACAGACACCACACATATAATTATGATATGTTAGAAACTTCAATACTAATGCACACGTCACAAACACAACACATTAAGATATGCTAGACTCTTTTATACTAATGTACACGTCACAGACACAACAAATATATGATATGATAGAAACTTCAATACTAATGTACACGTCACAGACACAACACATATAAGAAATGCTAGAAACTTCAATACTAATGTACACGTCACAGACACAACACATATAAGATATGCTAGAAATTTTAATAATAATGTACACGTCAAAGACACAACACATATAAGATATGTGAGAAATTTTAATAATAATGTACACGTCAAAGACACAACACATACATAATATGTTAGAATCTTCAATACTAATGTACACGTCACAGACACAACACATATAAGATATGTTAGAAACTTCAATACTAATGTACACGTCACAGACACAACACATATAAGATATGTTAGAAACTTCAATACTAATGTACACGTCACAGACACAACACATATAAGATATGTTAGAAACTTCAATACAAATGTACACGTCACAGACACAACACATATAAGATATGTTAGAAACTTCAATACTAATGTACACGTCACAGACACAACACATATAAGATATGTTAGAAACTTCAATACTGATGTACACGTCACAGACACAACACATATAAGATATGTTAGAAACTTCAATACTAATGTACACGTCACACGCACAACACATATATGATATATTAGAAACTTCAATACTAATGTACACGTCACAGACACAACACATATATGATATGTTAGAAACTTCAATACTGATGTACACGTCAAAGACACAACACATATATGATATATTAGAAACTTCAATACTAATGTACACGTCACACGCACAACACATATAAGATATATTAGAAACTTCAATACTAATGTACACGTCACACGCACAACACATATATGATATATTAGAAACTTCAATACTAATGTACACGTCACAGACACAACACATATATGATATGTTAGAAACTTCAATACTGATGTACACGTCAAAGACACAACACATATATGATATGTTAGAAACTTCAATACTGATGTACACGTCAAAGACACAACACATATATGATATATTAGAAACTTCAATACTAATGTACACGTCAAAGACACAACACATATATGATATATTAGAAACTTCAATACTGATGTACACGTCACAGACACAACACATATATGATATATTAGAAACTTCAATACTGATGTACACGTCAAAGACACAACACATATATGATATATTAGAAACTTCAATACTAATGTACACGTCAAAGACACAACACAACTTCAATACTAATGTACACGTCAAAGACACAACACATATATGATATGTTAGAAACTTCAATACTGATGTACACGTCAAAGACACAACACATATATGATATATTAGAAACTTCAATACTAATGTACACGTCACACGCACAACACATATATGATATGTTAGAAACTTCAATACTGATGTACACGTCAAAGACACAACACATATATGATATATTAGAAACTTCAATACTAATGTACACGTCACAGACACAACACATATAATGATATATTAGAAACTTCAATACTAATGTACACGTCACACGCACAACACATATATGATATATTAGAAACTTCAATACTAATGTACACGTCACACGCACAACACATATATGATATATTAGAAACTTCAATACTAATGTACACGTCACAGACACAACACATATATGATATATTAGAAACTTCAATACTAATGTACACGTCACAGACACAACACATATATGATATATTAGAAACTTCAATACTAATGTACACGTCAAAGACACAACACATATATGATATATTAGAAACTTCAATACTAATGTACACGTCACAGACACAACACATATAAGATATATTAGAAACTTCAAAACTGATGTACACGTCACAGACACAACACATATATGATATGTTAGAAACTTCAATACTGATGTACACGTCACACGCACAACACATATATGATATGTTAGAAACTTCAATACTGATGTACACGTCAAAGACACAACACATATATGATATATTAGAAACTTCAATACTAATGTACACGTCACACGCACAACACATATATGATATATTAGAAACTTCAATACTAATGTACACGTCACAGACACAACACATATATGATATGTTAGAAACTTCAATACTGATGTACACGTCAAAGACACAACACATATATGATATATTAGAAACTTTAATACTAATGTACACGTCAAAGACACAACACATATATGATATATTAGAAACTTCAATACTAATGTACACGTCACACGCACAACACATATATGATATATTAGAAACTTCAATACTAATGTACACGTCACAGACACAACACATATATGATATGTTAGAAACTTCAATACTGATGTACACGTCAAAGACACAACACATATATGATATATTAGAAACTTTAATACTAATGTACACGTCAAAGACACAACACATATATGATATATTAGAAACTTCAATACTAATGTACACGTCACAGACACAACACATATATGATATATTAGAAACTTCAATACTAATGTACACGTCACACGCACAACACAATATATGATATATTAGAAACTTCAATACTAATGTACACGTCACAGACACAACACATATAAGATATGTTAGAAACTTCAATACTGATGTACACGTCAAAGACACAACACATATATGATATATTAGAAACTTCAATACTAATGTACACGTCACACGCACAACACATATATGATATATTAGAAACTTCAATACTAATGTACACGTCAAAGACACAACACATATAAGATATATTAGAAACTTCAATACTGATGTACACGTCAAAGACACAACACATATATGATATATTAGAAACTTCAATACTAATGTACACGTCACACGCACAACACATATATGATATATTAGAAACTTCAATACTAATGTACACGTCAAAGACACAACACATATATGATATATTAGAAACTTCAATACTAATGTGCACGTCACACGCACAACACATATATGATATATTAGAAACTTCAATACTAATGTACACGTCACAGACACAACACATATAAGATATATTAGAAACTTCAATACTGATGTACACGTCAAAGACACAACACATATATGATATATTAGAAACTTCAATACTAATGTACACGTCACACGCACAACACATATATGATATATTAGAAACTTCAATACTGATGTACACGTCACAGACACAACACATATATGATATGTTAGAAACTTCAATACTAATGTACACGTCAAAGACATAACACATATAAGATATATTAGAAACTTCAATACTAATGTACACGTCACAGACACAACACATATATGATCTGTTAGAAACATCAATAATAATGTACACGTCACATACAAAACACACATAAGATATATAGAAACTTCAATACTAATGTACACGTCACACGCACAACACATATATGATATGTTAGAAACTTCAATACTAATGTACACGTCACAGACACAAGACATATATGATATGTTAGAAACTTCAATACTAATGTACACGTCACCGACACGACACATAAAACGTGTAACAAGATTCCGTACTAATGTACATATCACAGAGAGAGAGATACAGCACATGTGGGAAATGGTATAGCTTCGAATTGTATGTGCACATCACAGACAAGACACATATATGTTAATAACATGTTAAAAACTATAACACATGCTCAGATTATGATATTTTGTTAAGGTGACTTATAGGTGCAATGGGCCGGGTGTTCATCTTTGTGTATTTTTGTGTATGTATATACTTATAACACATGTCACTTTAATAAAGAATTTACTTACTTACTAACTTACTGACTGACTGACTGGCTGGCTGGCTCCCTCCCTCATTCACTCACTCACTCACTCACTCACTCACTCACTCACTCACTCACTCACTCACTCACTCACTCACTCACTCACTCACTCACCCACTCACTCACTCACTCACTCACTCACTCACCAACTCACCAACTCACTCACTCACTTACTCACTCACTCACTCACTCACTCACTCACTCACTCACCAACTCACTCACTCACTTACTCACTCACTCACTCACTCACTCACTCACGCACTCACGCAACTCACTCACTCACTTACTCACTCACTCACTCACTCACTTACTCACTCACTAACTCACTCACTCACTCACTCACTTACCTACTTACTAACTTACTTACTTACTTATATGATATGTATGTATGTATGTAGCGATATGAATTCATTCAGCATCTTAGTTGCTTTTTCCCTTAACATTTTAGCTGGATAAAAAAGTTTACATGTTGATATTAAGGATGACTTCTTATTTAAGTTAAGAAAAGTGATGATTTTTTTCAAATACAAATGCTATTCTTGACATAAAACTTTGTGTTAAGATTTTACTTTAATTTTATTTCCTTACAGGACAAATGGCTCCATGCCAGTAATATGATTGTACCAGTGCAGATGCGAATTTCATCTCATTACGTATGTTTAGTCAGCTTTTATTTAGGAAATAGATATCAATTCTGACTGCATTTTTGTAGAATAATGTACGGTTTGAGTTCAAATGCGTAGTAATATAATCACGAAGGCCAATAGACCTGAGTGATTAATTACAAAGCATTTGAAAGAAAACAAACGTAAATAGATATCAATTCTGAGTGCATTGTTGTAGAATAATGCACGGGTTGAGTTCAAATGCGTAGTAATATAATCACGAAGGCCGATAGACTTGAGTGATTAATTACAAAGCATTTGAACGGAAAAAACACGTGCTTTATTATACAATAATGCACGAAGAATTAATATCTATTTCCATTCTAACACGTCAAGAAAAATAATAATTATTATATAGTTGGACTTTGTATGTGCAGTGCGTATTGTATTTGGTTGTGTGTGTGTTTTTTTTTCATTGTTTAATTACTTTAAATAATATTTGTTTAAATTGTATTGTGAACAAAGCTTGTAGCTTATAGCACTCTCTAGTTTGCTGTCCTGAAGTAACTAGTTCTCTTTTCTGAAGTAACTAGTTCGCTGTTCTGAAGTAACTAGTTCGCTTTCCTGAAGTAACTAGTTCGCTGTTCTGAAGTAACTAGTTCGCTTTCCTGAAGTAACTAGTTCGCTGTCCCGAAGTAATTAGGTCGCTTTCCTGAAATAACTAGTTAGCTGTCCCGAAGTAATTAGTTCGCTGTCCTGAAGTAACGAGTTCGCTGTCCCGAAGTAACTTGTTTTCTTTCCTGATGTAACTAGCTCGCTGTCCTGAAGTATCTAGTTCGCTGTCCTGAAGTAACTAGTTCGCTGACCTGAAGTATCTAGTTCGCTGTCCTGAAGTAACTAGTTCGCTGTCCTGAAGTTATTAGTTCGCTGTCCTGAAGTAACTAGTTCGCTGTCCTGAAGTAACTAGTTCGCAGTCCTGAAGTAACTAGTTTGCTGTCCTGAAGTAACTAGCTCGCTGTCCTGAAGTAACTAGTTCGCTGTCCTGAAGTAACTATTTCGCTGTCCTGAAGTAACTAGCTCGCTGTCCTGAAGTAATTAGTTCGCTGTCCTGAAGTAACTAGTTAACTGTCCTGAAGTAACTAGTTCGCCGTCCTGAAGTAACTAGTACCGGTGTCATTTATGAACCGTGATTCATGTAATGCTCAAACCCATGTTCCTGGGTTGAGAGGCAAACACCTTTACCACAAGGCCATAACTACGATTTGTGTTCTTAATAGAGACTGCAAGGCGAGTGCAACTTTCTCATTTGGTTTGAACTCCTGTGTTGACTGAAACGTAACTATCTAGCAAAATGTAGAAAATCGATGGTTGTACCCAGGTGTGAACCAAGGTGTGCGCTCTCGTGCAGGAAATAAGACATAGATAGGTTTATGGGGGAATTCTTGCTCTTATGAAAACTTGTCCTCAACTTAAAATGGTGACACTAACTAAAAGTCGTTTATTTTAGGCTGGAATCAATTGGACCTACAACTTTTATGATTTTACTGTAGGACAACGATCAAATGAAATCTTTTCTATAAGATCATGTTTTAATCATAAATCACAGACATCATTTAAGATTTCATTTCCAGGTCAGTATGAATTTAAGATATTGTATTATAAAAACGACCTACATTATTATGTATGATAATTCATCGATATTTACATGATATGTTACCCTTGCGAATGATATATTACCGATATTTACATAATATGTGACCTGTACGAATAATATATTACCGATATTTACATACAGTAATATGTGACCTGTACGAAGGATATATTACCGATATTTACATGATATATGACCTGTAGGAATGATATATTACCGATATTTACATGATATGTTACCTTTGCGAATGATTTCTTACCTATATTTACATGATATGTTACTTTGCGAATGATATATAACGGATATTTAGATGATATGTTACCTTTGCGAATGATATATTACCTATATTAACATTATATGTGACCTGTACGAATGATATATTACCGATATTTACATGATATGTGACCTATACGAATGATAATATTATATTACCGATATTTACATGAAATGTGACCTGTGCGAATGATAATATTACCGATATTTACATGATACCGGTATGTGACCTGAACAAATGATATATTACCGATATTTACATGATACCGGTATGTGACCTGAACAAATGATATATTACCGATATTTACATGATACCGGTATGTGACCTGAACAAATGATATATTACCGATATTTACATGATATGTGACCTGTACGAATGATACATTACTGATATTTACATGATGTGACCTGTAGGAATGATAATATTATATTACTGATATTTACATCAACCAAATTTTTATTGAATTAAAGGTTTATGGGACCACAGTTTGACGTCATATCAAAATATGTTAATCTTAAAGATAACCGAATTAATATCAACGGTAGCGCACGTGCCACAACTACGTATTCAGGACAGACAACTCATTATTTCAACAGATTCGTTCTACTTCATTGCCACATTACTAGACAAGCCACCTTCTACGGGTAACTTTAAACTTCTTGTCAATTTTTGTTAATAACAAAAACAAATATTATTGCAATTTTACAAAGATTATTATCATATCATTTCACATATAAATTCCTTCTACTTGGTCTGTATCATGTTTCTTATTATTTCATTTGAAAGCGTCAGTACTATCTGATTTCTACACGAACGGGTAAAAACACGCCATTACCAAGGTTACAATTTTGCCGTATATAAGCAAAAACGCTAATTTAAATTTGTCATATAGCTTTCGGCCTTGCGGGCTTCTTCAGCAGCATTTATTTTACATACAAATATATCAAAACAAAACAATGGAAGTGACGTACCGTCTTACCGGCGGGCGTCGTTCATTGACGTTACGTCACTTCCATTGTTTTGTTTTGATATATTTATATGTAAAATAAATGCTGCTGAAGAAGGCCGCAATGCCGAAAGCTGCGGCAAATTTAAATTAGCGTTTTTGCTTATATATTATTAACTTCATCATTTAGAATATGTAAAGTAAAATCAGAGAAACAGGTACTTATTTTATACTAAAACCATGTATAGGCACAAGAAGAAACTACATTTTGGTACAATTTATACGTAAACCCTAAAAATTGCAAAAATAAACATTGAACATTCTCTACATATTTTGTTGTACCAATAACAGTAAAAATAATATCATTTCATGTTTAAAATAAATCGCAGACTGAAGTCAAACCTACGGTGGCATAGAGGTGACATTTGCAGTTTAATTTTATCTCGTGGCCACGACTTATTATCTTGAGGCCTCAAGATATTATCTCGTGGCCACGACTTATTATCTCGTGGCCACGACTTATTATCTTGTGGCCTCAAGATATTATCTCGTGGCCACGAGTTATTATCTTGTGGCCACGACTTATTATCTCGTGGCCTCAAGATATTATCTCGTGGCCACGACTTATTATCTCGTGGCCACGACTTATTATCTCGTGGCCACGAGTTATTATCTTGTGGCCTCAAGATGTTATCTCGTGGCCACGACTTATTATCTCGTGGCCACAAGTTATTATCTTGTGGCCTCAAGATATTATCTTGTGGCCTCCAGATATTATCTCGTGGCCACGAGTTATTATCTTGTGGCCACGACTTATTATATTGAGGCCACGACTTATTTTCTCGTGGCCACGAGTTATTATCTTGTGGCCACGACTTATTTTAGCCAATGAAAATGGTCGTTTCATGTTGAACAAAATTTAATATCACACTGGCAATAGCAGTCACAGGAGGGGCGTGTCAATCACCACCATATATTTTCTTAAGTTCACGCATTTTCCCAGAGACGTGCTGAATTTCAGTAAGGCTTATCAGTTAGTATATCACTATAAACTGTATTGACCACATTAACACGTCCACTGAGTAGAGTCTTGTCATCACTAATTGGCCCTCTGTATTCTTATCTTATGGTCCTAACGTTTAAGGATCAAGTTTCTATAGATGCAGTTTTTCATAAAATACACTCACTTTTATAAGTTGTCATCACCAGTAGGAAGTTAGCAGTAGCATTGAGCAATAGCAGTAACAAAATTATAAAACATGAAGTTAGCAGTAGCAGTAGCACAGAACTAGCAGTGACAAAATTATAAAACGTGAAATTGGCAGTAGCAATAGCACAGCATAAGCAGTACCAATCAAAGAGGAGATCTTAAAAGAATTGACATATGTCTTTGAAACTTGTATACTAGTATGTCAGTTTTTATAATAAAGAAAAAGATTCAGATAACCCGTCAAAGATACTCATTTATCATTGTGATATTGTAGTATATCTTCAATAATAACTATCTAGATACAAGTCTTTAATGGGATTCGAATCCACAGGGAAAAGGGGCAAGTTATTTCCATGAACGACCTTAAAAGTATACATCAACCGCATATATTTCTTAATTAAATCTCAATTAAATTAGATATACCGTGCTCATCCTTGAAAATTAAAATCACAGATTTTTTTTAAATCTATGGTATTCTAACTTAATGCGGTTAACTTGAATAAAGAAATCAATAAACTATGTACAGGAAGCTGCGTTCCCTATAACAGGTCAGGTAATCTTTACTTAAAAAACTATATATATTCATGGTGAACACCTATACTGTGTAGAATTTTAAACATAACATATCTACTATATTTGAAGTCAAAACATGTTCATTTTATGTTTACATGTACAAAGGGACAATGTAACAATTATCAATATTTTCTAATATTAAATTTAAGCAAAGTATATCTTTAAAGAAGAATGAAAGTAACACCTGACCATACAAAACAAGAAGAATAATAATTATAAAACGTTCCCTTTCTTCACCCGCCGCTCTTGTGAAAGCTGTGGCCAGTGTGATATAAGGTCTTATTGATATTAACTTTTGTTCAAGATGAAACGACCATTTTCATTGGCTGAAATAAGTCGTGGCCACAAGATAATAACTCGTGGCCTCAATATAATAAGTCGTGGCCACAAGATAATAACTCGTGGCCACGAGATAATATCTTGAGGCCACAAGATAATATCTTGAGGCCACAAGATAATAACTCGTGGCCACGAGATAATAAGTCGTGGCCACAAGATAATATCTTGAGGCCACAAGATAATAACTCGTGGCCACGAGATAATATCTTGAGGCCACAAGATAATAACTCGTGGCCACGAGATAATAAGTCGTGGCCACGAGATAATATCTTGAGGCCACAAGATAATAAGTCGTGGCCACGAGATAATAAGTCGTGGCCACGAGATAATATCTTGAGGCCTCAAGATAATAAGTCGTGGCCACGAGATAAAATAAGACTGCAAATGTCACCTCTATGCCACCGTATGTTTTACTCTTAGTAGTTTCCTTTTTAAAAATATAAAGTTCATGAATATCAAAAACAAAGCATGTTTGTTGCATGAAATTTTGTTCAAGTACACTTCAGGTTTGACGCAATTTACGACTGACAATGTGTCTATGACTTCAGCTATGACGGAACTTAAAAATAACGTCATTATTGGAAACTTTTCACTGACTGTCAACATATCCGGACAGGTAACACAAAGTTCTGTTGTTCAGTATAAATATCACCTCATTTGTATGCCCCCCCCCCCTTCGAAGAAGAGGGGTATATTGTTTTTCTAATGTCGGTCGGTCGGTCTGTCGGTCGGACAGTTGGTCGGTCTGTCCGTCGGTAGACAACATGGTTTCCGCTGATCACCTTAAAAACTATTTTTCACAAAGTCTTCATATTTCACATACTGATTGGTCATAACTAGTAGATGACTCTTATTGATTTTGTGGTCACTATGTCAAAGGTCAGAGTCACAGGGGTCTTAAATGTCAAAATGGTTTCCGCTGATTATCTTAAAAACTATTCATCATAAAGTCTTCATATTTCACACAGTAATTGGTCATAACTAGAACATGACCCCTATTGATTTTGCAGTCACTAGGTTAAAGGTCAAGCTTACATGACCTTTAATTTCAAAATGGTTTCCTCTGATTGTCTTGAAAACTAATCGTCACAAAGTCTTCATATTTAACATAGTGATTTATCATAACTAGTAGATAATTCCATGTCTGAATAATTTCAGCTAAATGTTATCTTGAAAACAATTTTACACTGTGCTTGGTCATAACTAGTAGGTGACCCCTATTGATTTTTAGGTCACAAGGTCAAGGGTCACAGTGGCCTTGAAGTAAGTATGGTTTCGGCTCATTATCTTGAAAACTGTTTTTCAAAAAGTCTTCATATTTCACATAGTGAATGGTCTTAACTAGTGGATGCCCCCTATTGATTTTGGGGTCACTAGTTCAAAGGTCAAGGTCACCGGGATCTTTAATATCAGAATGAATTCCGCTTATTATCCACCCCCCCCCGAACCGGCTAAAGAACAGAATTCAACATTTAAACATAAAATGGCAAATTTATGAATTAAGAAACACCCGTAAATGTGTTTATACGGCGGTTATCATGGAACATTCAATGTGACACTTCCGTGCCATTCCATGAATTCCCAAGTAATAGAAAGCGTGTGCCATAAACGAGAAATCAATGGGCGGAACTAAACAAAATGGAATTTTGAAAAGGGATCAGGGGTTATGAAGCCTGCATATCACAGATAAGACGTCAAAGTTAAAAAGCAGGCGGTGATTCAACATTATCCAAGTAAGAATATTGTAACCACTCAAATCGAATGTGTTCATACGGCGGTTATCATGGAACCTTCAATGTGACACGTCCATTATTCTATCATTATAGTGACAACAAGCCTACGTAATTCAATGTGTATAAGAGCACCTTTTATTTCTTATCCCAGTGATATTTATTCCAAGCTAATATAATTATTTAAGGGGTTTATACAAGGAAATTTGACTGATAAAATATAGTTGACATATCAGAGTTTATGAATGAGTCCTAGTGTTTGTTTGTTTGTTTGTTTTGGGTTTTACGTCACATCGACACAGCATAGGTCATATCGCGCCGTTCCAGCTTTACTGGTGGAGGAATACCTCAGGTGGCCTCCGTTCATTATTTCAGGCATGAACGGGCACCTGAGTAGAAACACCTACGTTCCGTAAGCTAGCTGGATAGCTTCCTCACTTGAGTCATAGAGTAACAGATAAAAGTGAGCAATGAAAACAATCCGAACAAGGTAATTTTATGATGCAAGTCCGACTTAAACAAATAATTTGATGACGTTAATGACCTAATGTTAGGTAAGTTACGTGATCTGAAATAAATTATCTGATCTTATCATTTCCTTTAGCATACCCATATTTTAGCATAACCGTGTTTTACTATTACCGTATTTTAGCATAACCGTATTTTGCTTTATATTTTCAGTTGAGAATGATCAAAGCAGATTCAATTCAAGAGAATATAGATGGGAGTGAGCTAGAAACATTATCGTCAAGTACGATTTTCTAAAATTTCTGTATCTTCATAAAATACTTAAATTACAGAATAAAACTTTGTTTTTTTGACTTAAACAAATCACTCATATATTATAATTTGTCTTTAAAGCATGTAGAAAAACTGTCGGTCAGGTCATAAAATTCATGTTGCTTATACCGTAAGATACAGGTCATGACATAAGATACTTGTACATTGTTGTCTCTCAGTCATTAGAATCATGTACAATGGATATTATATTATCAAGGAACATATTGAATGTTATCAACGATTCATTAAACTTTACATGTAACAGTTTGTCAGATAAATCATGTAAGTATGTAAGCTGTGTTGTCGCTATTGACAACGTGCAAAGTGTACCAAATCAGCCACCATGCATATGAAAGGAACATGTTCACTGTTATCTGTTCTATATTGTCAACCAGATCTGAAGGCGTAAAGCAAACATATTGTCAACCAGATCTGAAGGCGTAAAGCGAACATATTGTTCACCAGATCTGAAGGCGTAAAGCGAACATATTGTCAACCAGATCTTAAGGCATAAAGCGAACATATTGTCAACCAGATCTGAAGGCCTAAAGCGAACATATTGTCAACCAGATCTGAAGGCCTAAAGCGAACATATTGTTAACCAGATCTGAAGGCGTAAAGCGAACATATTGTCAACCAGATCTGAAGGCGTAAAGCGAACATATTGTTAACCAGATCTGAAGGCATAAAGCGAACATATTGTCAACCAGATCTGAAGGCGTAAAGCGAACATATTGTTAACCAGAAGTGAAGGCGTAAAGCGAACATATTGTTAACCAGATCTGAAGGCGTAAAGCGAACATATTGTTAACCAGATCTGAAGGCGTACAGCGAACATATTGTCAACCAGATCTGAAGGCCCAAAGCGAACATATAGTCAACCAGATCTGAAGGCGTAAAGCGAACATATTGTTAACCAGATCTGAAGGCGTAAAGGGAACATATTGTCAACCAGATCTGAATGCCTAAAGCGAACATATTGTTAACCAGATCTGAAGGCATAAAGCGAACATATTGTCAACCAGATATGAAGGCGTAAAGCGAACATATTGTCAACCAGATCTGAAGGCGTAAAGCGAACATATATGAAGGCATAAAGCGAACATATTGCAATAGTTTGACGGTCGCGAGATGTCTTTAGTTTTAGTATCAACTAAATATTAACAACAAACTTTGAATAGATACATGTAGGAAACTTAATTTATGACACATAAAAAGATTCTTAGTAAGGTAAGGTTTTGTATTATGTTTATCGTATATTGACAGACAGACAAACAGACAGACTAAATGCTGACACGGTACAGTTCATACGAAAATAGATACATTAACAGAACGAGACATAATATGTGTGGATCTAGAGTCAGGTTACATAATATTAGTAAGATGTCTTCTAATTATACAGATACTTGGATGAACAAGTTTACCGTGCAGGTCAACAAAGCCGTGCCTGGATTTTCCGGAATTATATTTACCGGTTTATCTATCGATGAGTGCGCAACCCGATGTCTGAATGAGCTCCTTATTATCTGCAATGCTTTTACATATTCGCTTACCTCAGGATACTGTTCCTTGTTGAATATTCGTCCTAACGAAGTACCGGCCATCATACAAAACACAATGAGTTCTTATTTATATATAAGTAAGTATTTTCAGAGACTTATTCATTATCTTGTACTACTTATCAATAAGCTTAAGTTGATTGTTTACCTTATAATGAGATACGCATCCTCGTGCAAAAATAACCAAATTCAAGGGCAGATTACTGCGTCATTATTTTTCTCCTTAAATGATGCAAAGTTTAAATCAATTCCAATGAAAAAGAGTTCGTTGTACCTATTTATCCATATGAAAATTTTGACAAACGTGTTTTAAAATGTTTATTTTAGCTAATCGATATTTTATGATAAGAATGTTTTTTCTTTCTGAGAGACAGATTTAACATTAATAGTTTCTTTATTTTAGAAAAATACACAGTTGACTTTGAGATGATCCCAGGAACTACAGTACTTTCAAGTTCGAATACGGTTTATCACGTTAATTCTGTAGAAATGTGTGCTAAGTTATGTATCAGTTATAAAAGCTTCAGCTGTAAATCTTTTGAATTCTGTGATAATACATCAACCTGTGTCCTAGGCCATTCTCATTTTTACGATATTCCAAAGTCTTACATGAAAGATTCAGCCATTTGCAACCACTATTCAAGTAAGTACGTTCGATTAACATTTCTCTTAATTCAAGATTACTGATACTCAAAGTGAAATAACTCAAAACTTGCACAAATTATTACAAAGATGGTTCTTTCCTTTTTCTTTGTTATAATAGAGGAAAAACCTAAGAATACAACCTTTATTTACCCTTCCTAAATCATTTACCATTATCTCATAACAAATATAAACAATACATTCATTTCAATATGTATATTGTATTTAGTACATGGGTATAAGATAGGTTTATAAGTATATGATATAATCAATTGTACATGTATAACTTAAATAAATAAGTGAAATATTCCATATAATGGAATTTTATGATAAAGTTTATACATGTATATATAGGTCTATATAACTAGCAGACATATGTCGGGAAAATATAAGGCCCTTTTCATAGCAGCAGTCTGAACCTTAATAATCATACAGATAATTGAAAAAGCTAAAAATTATCACGGAACCAATAAAAAATAATTAAAAGATTACTCGTTGTTTAGGCAAATTTTACCCAGCATTGAATGGCTGACTTAACGATACCTCGCATAACAAGCATTACCATAGAAGACATGTCAAAACAAGTTTTGATTGGACAATCCAATACCGAGCACAAAGATCTTTGCATATTCAAAGGAAATATTTTCTGTCTAAGGCACTTCGTTTAACCGACAGAACATATATGTCATTTTCATGCTATATTTCAAGCAATGTTTCAGCTATAGAAATATAAATGTAATACCTGCCGTCACTCATGGTTCAGATTATATGATTTACAGGAAAATATTTGTCTGATTTCAAGCCAATGGGTAATCTGTATTTAACCCCCGTATATGACCGTGTAATAAGTGGTGTCAATGTTGAACAGTGTGCTAAATTATGTGTCGAGGAAGAAGGACTGGAGTGTGCTAGTTTCGCTTACTGTTTCAATACAACAGAATGTAGACCCAGAAGAAAACGGAATATAAGTCAGGTTTCCTCTCTGTTAATACCTCCCAAGTGTAACGTTTACAATAGTAAGTACATTTGATATATGTTTTAGTATACTTTATGAAATCTTTCAGTTTTCCAAAACTATATTTCTTCATTGTAATTATATTGTATATTCTAGTGGACTTTGTTCAGGTTATTGCACACCACTCTTTACATGCATTTGCTTACATAGTTACGTGTACCAAGAGTCTTTTAATATTCTGTCAACTGTCACATTCATGGTTCAGTCTATATAACATTTGTTGTTCTGTTGACATAATGTTTATTGTTCTGTCGGCGTCACATTCGTGGTTCAGTCGATATAACGTGTGTTGTTTTGTCGACGTCACATTCGTGGTTCAGGCGATATAACGTGTGTTGTTCTGTCGACGTCACATTCGTGGTTAAGTCGATTTAACGTGTGTTGTTCTGTCGACGTTACAGTCGTCTTTCAGTGGGCATAACTTGTGTAGTTCAGTCAACATAACTTGTGTAGTTCAGTCGACATAACGTTTTGTGTTCAGTTGATATATATAGGATATCGAGTGAGTGTAGATCCAATTTTAAATTTATTGAACGAGTTGCATGAAATTATATTTAAAACATGTATTAAATTTAATTCATGCTTACTTTGCTCTTCAGGGGAGACATATCGTGACGGAACACCGTACTCGTCAATTTCCTCCAGCACTACCATTCCTCCGACTTCAACTGATACCCCGAAAACTGGTACTTGTTTTGTTAATATGTTTATCATGAAAGATCTTATGAATTAAAAGTCTTATCCGACTACGTTCAATTGTTATATAAGTTTAGCTTTAACCAATCAGAAAACATAAACAAAAGATGTATTTTATTGATTATATTCATTTTTATTGACCGGATAAGTGGCACGGGTTCAACTGATATATAAAAAAAGAAATGTTGCTTTTCAGTCTCTTCCTCCGGACCCACAACGTCTATAAATACTTCAACTACTACTCAGACGAAAGTACAGTCATCTAGTACCAAACCTACCAAACCTACATCAAAAGACGGTAAGGCATAAATTACAAGTACACTCAGGGGCACTTATAACCCAACACTTACATTTTTTTTCGGTATAAATAGGTTATTTGTGGATATTTGTTCAAACTTGGACCATACAAAGTTCAATATATCATACTTACTACTTAGAATTATATTTACAATTCATCGATAAGAAAATAGACAAAATAACAAAACAAATATGCTACTGCAACATTAAAAATCACAGAATGGCTGAGATTATCGTAACAAAATGAATCCCACTAAATCTGTATGTTAACCAGATCTAACACTTTATATGGTTAACACACTTGTAGGATGGCTATGTAACATGGTAAACTCACTTTTTGAATGGCTTTATAATACTGCAAGTGTGTAACGTCGCTTTTCATTGGATAATCGTGACGTTTATATAGTTTTTTAATAATACTGCACGTTTGTTACGTCGTTTTTTATTGGATAATCGTGACGTTTATATTATTAGTTATAAAGATCGTTGACAGGTTATATTGCCCTATATAAACGGCTATTTGTAAATATAGACCGAGCCGCTAGAAGAGGGTTATATTGCAAACAGCCGTTTATATATTGCCATATAACCTGTCAACCTTCTCAGCACCCGTGTATATATAAACTCACGATTATCCAATGAAAAGTGACGTTACAAACGTGCAGAATTATAAAGTTTTTTTATAATACTGCAAGTTTGTAACGTCATTTTTCATTGGATAATCGTAACGTTTATATAGTTTTATATACACGGCTGCTGTCGATTCATGAGGAAATCTTGTTTTTTTGCTCTAAAATAACTATGCTTGCTGTAAATTCGTAATAAATAGAGGATATTCAAGTTTTTTCTATAAATACATGATTTATTTTCATCGAGTGGTATGAAAATAAATATTTCATGAGTGGTGGTAGCCACGAGTGAAATATGGTAATTTTCATGCCACAAGATGAAAATAAATCATGTATCTATAGAAAAGACTTGAATTTTCTGTTTATTATATACATTTTTCTCTTTCTGGATATAAAAATTTGCAAGACTTTCCCTTAAATTTTGAGTACTGGCAGAATTTAAAAGAAAGTAGTCCGGCAAGACACCAGTGAAAATACGGAAAATATGTTTCACTGCAGTGAAAAATAAATTTTTACAGTGAAAATACGGAAAATGAAAATATGCATTTTATTTCATCAATATTTCTCAAAATTTCATTTAAAAGTATATAATAAATATTCCTGACATGTTAAATGGCCGTATATAAACAGTTGTTTCCAATATATACTAACAACCGTTTATATAGGACCTTTTAACTGTCAAGAATCTTTATAACTAATTATATAACATGGTAAACTAACTTGTGGAATATACAATGTAGTATATAACATGGTAAACTAACTTGTGGAATATAGTATATAACATGGTAAACTAACTTGTGGAATATAGTATATAACAATATAAGGTACCAATGGAAGTGTAGATTATCTGTAACAGATTGTACTTTATATATTTTTGATTACATTGTTTATAAAACAAGCAAACACTGTTACAATGCAAACAAGTTTAAGTACTTTTTTGTCTTTCAGGACAAACAACTAATAATTATAAAGAAGGTTTGACTGAGAAGATTGTTTTAAAGGACTCTAGTTCATCGCCTATAGTTAAGAAGGGACTGTCTGCAGGTATTATCATAGTAACCAAGATTTCAAAACCACATAATCTTTACTTTATGCTGCATATTTTCTGTGTTAAATTACAATTATATAAACTCTCTAAACTTGAATATTTTAAATATAGAGGCGTTATATTCTATCCCCGTCTTGCTTCCCCCTTCTCAACTCTTTGTACTTAACTTTAAAGTAAATGGGGTATCTTCTTATTCTGCTTAAACTGTCTTAAGGATTTCCCCCATTTTCTTTCAATACGTAATTAAACAACAAAATTTTGATAATAAAACTGTCCGTGAATGACTGATTAATCATGTGAAACTAAATATAAAGTTGAAACAATTTTTAACATTATTAATATGTCCATGTCTTTGTATTTTTATGAAGGCGGAGTTGTGGGCGTGGCCTTTGGTATGCTGACAGCTGGTTTACTTATTGCTCTTATTGCATTGGCTGGAATAAAACGTATCAAAAAGAAACAGACCAATGAAATGAAGTCAACTTTAACAGAACACGAGTTAGAGTAAAGCTAGTGTTGCTAAAATTGAATTATTTTTCCAAAAGGTTACAATTATCGTTATTTTCCACAGCCTTCATCATTATAAGCTCCAGTGTATAACAAATTTACATGAAATTCTATGCTACATTACCACGTCTGTTTGTAGAATATTTGCAATAATTATAATTTGCCATGTTTATCTGTTAAATTAGATGTTCTTCTCTATAAAATTATAATTGTTAGTGTTATGTTAACGGATTTGTCAATCTATTGAAAATGTTATATTATCACAATCAACTGTTGAAGTATTGACAAAGTACTGTTACCAGTTCTTGGTTTTGATCTTTTCATGTTTATTTTTGGTCTTTTCGTTTATTTTAACATTTTCGCATTTTATTTTTACAGAGTTGTCTATTACCTCCCTTTGATTATAGATTTGAATTGTTATTCAATCATTTGATTTCCTGCTGTTTTTGAACCAATTATCGTGGTCATGTGACATGCTGGCCACTCTTGCACAAGTTTTCTTACTGAGCAGTTGATTGTGTTACTTCATACTGGAAATTACTGTTTTTTTTATTTTTAATTAATTGCCGATAATTTGATTTTTTATCTGTTTATGTGTGTTACTGTTGCTATATGTAGCATTTGTAACATAAAATATCATTTGGACGCTGCGTTGTTGTTTTGCTTTATTCTGTAGCTTCCGAACATAAATTATCATCTGTGTGTTGCATTATGATATATTTGCAGGAAATTAAATTCTTTTTTTTTATTCTCGTATGTATTATTTGAGTGAATAACACTAGATCACATATTGATAAAAACTTGTAGCGGTTCAAAAATGTTGTTACATGTAATGCAAAATTAAAAACAAGGGAACAGATCATAAGTCTGAAATGCAGAATACTTAAAGGATATAGATTGTTTTCTGTTTATATTTCTCATATATAAAGGAAATCAAATTGTAAGTTTTAATTTACCAAATTCATGAATAAAATATAAAATAAATTGAATATTTGCTATGATATAATCTCATAAAATTAGGCTCGACATTCAAACAGTCTTTTACCAAACAGACGAACTCCTTTTTATTTTATGAAAATTATTTTTTAATATTTAGATGTACTGCATGTATCATTGTTATTTGATATTTATTTTCAATATTTTTTCGTCTGTTTCACTTGATAAAGTATTAGAATAAATCTCTTACTGGTATTGTTTTAATAGTTCATTTCTGTGTTAATTGATTCGTTCGATTTATTTGTTCGTTGACTTCAAACCTATAACCCTTCACCGCTGCAGGTTCGAATCCCGGCAGGGTCTTTGAATCATTCATGTGGTAAAGCTTTCCAGCCAGCTTACTGAAACATGGTGGTTCTACTCAGGTGCCCGTTCGTACCTAAAATAATGCTCGGACGGGCACCTTATGTCTTCCTCCACAAGTGAAGCTGGAAAGTCGACATATGACCTATACTGTGTTGGTGCGACGTAAAAAAACAACAACAACTAAATCAAAGAAAGTGCCACCTGGGGTCTTCCTCCGCCAGTAAAGCTGGAAAACCGACATATGACCTATACTGCTGTATTGGTGCAGCGTAAAAAACAAGACAAGAAAGTGACGCGTATACTTGTCCTGCTATTTTGATAAGATTAACATGTGACAATAGTGATGAATGGTCAATATATATATGATATACAAGTTACTACAGCGGTCTGTTGGACAAGTTGGTCACCAGAGTTTAACAAACAGAGGCATATCCCATTTTGATTAAACTATAGCAATTATTATTTGTAAATCTTTCCGTCTAATCAAGATGGTCACCAGAGCTTAAATTAGCCCCTCGGGCATTTTTAAGGAAACTCATCAAAAAAAAATCATTGATGGTTCTGTTCAAATTTTGTATAGCCTTCATTATCGGCATTGTCATATGAAACGAAATAGTAATAGGTTCAATCTCGATTTAACTAGTTCACAATATTAAATATCTCTCTTTATTGCACTATGCAAATGTTAAAGTGAGAGAGAAACTCCAAAAACTGTCAATTACGTGAGAGAATGGACAGATCGAGGCACTGTGCTGAGATCTGTTTATTCTCTCATATAAAGGGCAGTGTGAGTTTGAGGAGTTTCTCTTACTTAAAACATGTTCACTTTTCAGTTGTAGCAATCCATGAATTACATTCACGTATAATGATATATTAACATTAACAACAGATTCACGTATTATCATTTTAATAATAACGACACATTCACTTAAATGATAATAACTACCCTTTCATGTTTATAGATAATTTGATATTATTTAGTCACATTTTGCATGTCAAAGGGCGACATCTTAACTGCCTCAAACAGTATACCATATATTCTAACACGACCCGCATTTTTCCCTATTGAACATAGAAGAACCGAAAGTGTGTGTTATTATGCAATAGAGTCACTGTTTGACGCTCTATATTTAGACATGTGACGTAATCATTATACATGTGACGTAACCACTATAAAATCCGACGCGCTGACAATAAGTACGGAAACAAATCAGGCGCAAAATTTTGCTTAATAGCAGGTACGGCAGCATTTTCTTGTTTATGTCGTGTTAGAATCGAAATAATATATCCAAAATCGGTGATTTTATCGCTGGATAACATCACTGTTTGTCGTTCGGATGCGCATCATTATATCACTCGGGCTACGCCCTCGTGATATAATTCCTCGCATCCGAACTCCAAACAGTGATTTTATTGAGCGATAAAATCACAGTTTGGGATATATTATTTCTTAAGTAGTATACTGAAAGTTAGATAACGAACTTGATTGTGAGTCTTTATCACACATTACCACTAACAGGTACAAAGAAACAGTTATTTTCGAAGAAACAAGCAGCAGTTTGTCGGTAGATTCTGAAACTATTCTTGCACTTTTGTTTGTGTGTAAAATAGGCCTATTGTCTATGACGTCACACTCAAAATTTTCTTCGGTACAGAGAATGGAAAGTATCTGCTCTCACTCAACTAAATTTCCAAAGGAAAAGGGCATTAAGAGTTAAAGGGATATTCAGGTAAAATAATGACAAAAATATTAAAATGATCTTATGTACTCAAATCAGGCTAAAATGACGTTTCTTGAAGTTCCGGCATGAATTTCTGTTTGAATTTTATATATTTTGAGTTTGAAACGTAAATATATCTATATAATATTATGTTTGAACAAAATTTAGACGCCAATAGAATCACCAAATAGTTTAAAAACAAGTCAGGTGACTTGAACCAACCCTTTAAGTTACAATAACAGATATTTTGGATATTTTTTAAGTCAATGTCATTCATTTGAAATGTTCTTTAACAATTCCAGAGTTCACTTTGAAAATTATTGCGAAATCATAGCGCTCTAACCACGCGGGTCAAGTTAGGAAACCCCCATTTTATTCTTTATGTGGAAAAAAAGTTTTGTTCCATTGGCTGTCTAATATATTCATTTTGAGGGCATTTAGATCTACAGAATAATGAATGAAAACTTCAAAACTAAGAAATGAAAATTTGCCTGTGTCTCCCTTTAAGGTAAATCTATATGGATATATTATTATTATTTTATCGTTCGTTCAACAAAAACAGAATTCAAATGTTCTGTGTGTTCCAGCAGTCCTTCACAGATAAAATTATTTTATTCTTTATCCTTTACAAAAATCTTATACTCAAAGTCAAATTTTATAAACATAAGCAAGGAATGATACTTTTGATATCAGTAATTTTTGCCTCGGCTGCTTTGGTGGCTATGGTCTTTAATAACAAAGCTTTTGGCATGTACATAAGGAAACTTACCAAATTTGAGGTCCAAGACGCTGTCCATATAACATTGACGCCATACTTGTTGAGTGTTTGTTACAATGTTGAACATAGTCAATATTATTAGTAACAAGTAGAGATTTTGATGCTAAAGCATCAAGTCGCCGGATAGATATATGATTGTATTATCATAAATAAAAAATCAGTTCAATGGTTCTGGTATAAAGAAAAGAGGAACAATAAGTTGAGTAATGTTTATTCATAAACACGTTTTCATTTAATTGCCACGATTATATCTTTCTTGCTGAGAGTTTTATGCAATAAATTTATGTTATGTTATAATAAAACATCATATTTGAAGCAAACTTGCCTAGCAGTTTTGTCAAGAAACTGTTATCATTATTAAATAAGCAAGTATTGTTTTGCAATCACTAATTTTCGGGAGCTGTTTCGTTTTCTGTTTCGTTTGCTTACATAACTTATTATTATTAATGTTACGATTTTATTGTATAAGTATAACTACATGTCATATATCAATTAATACTGCTTGATGGCCTGGTGGTAAGTATGACGAAGTTGTAACCTACATGTAGTAGGCGCAAGTTCGAATCTCGGACAAATCCTGTGTGTAGTTTTCATAAATTGATTTTTATTATATCTTTTAACTTTATGAAACATAAGTTGATAAATAGTGTGTTTCATTTCTAGCACTTTTTTATTAAATAATTTTGATAAACTGTCAAGTTTTGCAAAATACAAAAAGTATTATAAAAGAAAACATAAAAGATCACTTTATCGAACCTACAGTCTTAAATTTGAAACTAACTTAAAATCTAACACCTTGTCATCGAGGCTTGTAAAGCAAGTGATATGATTATAATTCTGCTTGTAATTCTACTTTATACATATACCGTTGTACCATATATTTGAAATCCGTATGGTTTTATTCAGCATCCGATAATTACCGACAAATTATTACCGATCATCGAATATTTGCAAAGTGACTATGAAAATATATATGCTTAATTATTGCATAAAACAATGCAATTCTACTATAAATGTGGTGTCTGCATAAAAAAAAATCTTATGCACTATCGAAAAAATATATTATTTAGCTGATATTCCTGTTAATTGCCTTTCAGTGCGATAAACTATCAACACATGTATTCTCTTTGTATCCAATACGATTCCGGCCCCTACTGTCATAACGAGATTTTTCATACAAAATTACTTTGATTTGCACTTAACAGCTGGCAACCATTCAAAAGTTACCTGTATATCTGTCTTACCAGCCATTTGTTACTATTAATAGATTTTATAACAACTGGGATGTACTATAACATCATGTTCCAGATAACAATAACATACAACGTGTAGTCACGTGATTCTGGGAGAAACTGTTTATAATAAAAAAAATAGAAAAGGTCTCATAAGATTCAAACTGGGATGTACTATAAGTAAACATACCGATCGATTTTCTGACCGAACATTTCCTCCGCTCTGAACTAAAATTGTAAAATGGCGGCGCTGATTCCTGATTGGACGAAAACATAAGGAGCGATAATCTCTGTGTTTCCCGTCCCCGTATCGTATGTTCCAGATTCAAACAACCAGATAATTTAAAAGTGTCATTTCAAATATCATGCATGATTTATTTATCATAAAATAGCAACGCTTAACACTTTAGAAAAAGTAAAATCATCCCTAAATTCAATGACTGGGCCATAGGGATACGTCATTAATTCATTTTATAAAAAATGTAATGTTGCTGTTTACGATGTCAATATTTGAATATTTCATTTCATTGAGCAACATTATTGTATGTTTGAATTTTTGAGAGTACTGGAAACAATTGTAGTATTTAATTGTTCAGTAATTGATATGCTTTTATTTACAGAAATTAATGCCTTCTCCTACCATAGGTATAATATTAAACTGTTACAAATATAGTCGCCGGTTTCTACCAGCGACTAATAAAGATTGTTGACAGGTTATATGACCCTATATGAACGGCTATTTGTAAATATAACCCGAGCCGCTAGGCGGGGGTTATATTGCAAACAGTCGATTATATACAGCCAAATAACCTGTCAACAATCTTTAAAACGAATTTATAATACAGCAAGCATTATTTTTTAGAGAAAAAAGTAAAATTTCTTTATGAATCGACAGCAGCCGTGTATATAAAACTATATAACCGTCACGATTATCCAATGAAAAGTGACGTTACAAACGTACAGTATTATAAAAAAATAATATAACTCTATATCAAAGGCAGTCATTTTAATATAATCGTTTATAATGAAGTGAATTATGTCCGATTGAAATATTTCTAGGGAATACAATTTGCCGACACCGTATGTACTGCCTTAAGGTCATGTAAATATTTTCTCTGGTCATTTATTTTCAAAAAGAAATATCATACAAGCATTTTCAATTAGATCTATTTTTTATTGTGTTTTTTTATTCATTTATCTGACAAGTTGGCTTTCTTAGTTGTAAGATGTTTCCGGCACTGATTCCACTAATATTGGAAATTCCACATTTTTAGCAGCGATTTTATGAATTGGAAGGCATGTTATCAGTATGTGAATAATTTCTGTTGGTTTCTGGCCTTAATTGTAACATACCGATATATTGCTACATGAAATAATTGATTAAAATAACTCTAGACACAAAACTAAAACATTTACAACAAAGATTCATCATACGTAGTATCTAGTCAATCAGTCAATTAATTGATTTACAGGAATTGAATTTTGGAAATATTTTGTACAAAATGATGATCTCATTGTTAAGTTATTTTATTATTTGATTAAGTAAATAGAGGATATTCAAGTTTTTTCTATAAATACATGATTTATTTTCATCGAGTGGTATGAAAATAAATATTTCATGAGTGGCGGTAGCCACGAGTGAAATATGGTAATTTTCATGCCACAAGATGAAAATAAATCATGTATTTATAGAAAAAACTTGAATTTTCTGTTTATTATGTACATTTTTCTCTTTTTTTGCGATAAAATTTGAAAAACTTTCCCTTAAATGTTGTGCACTGGTAGAATTTAAAAGAAAGTAGTCCGGCAAGACACCAGTGAAAATACGGAAAATATGTTTCACTGCAGTGAAAAATAAATTTTTACAGTGAAAATACGGAAAATGAAAATACGCATTTTATTTCATCAATATTTCTCAATATTTCAATAAAATGTGTTAGTGTGCCGGTATTTACTTAAATAAGTTTAGACACACGTATTTTTACCTAACTTTTAACAGAAAAGATGTTTAATATATTGTTATATTTAAGGTCAGTGTTATAATCATTATTTTATAACAACAAGTTAAAATCTGTATCCATTTTATAGACAGGCTACTGAGATAAACTGTCTGTTATCAAATTCTTGTTATCATGATCAATGTCATGTTATCATTCCCTTCTATAGATAACAACCACTCTACATGATGCCGGTGTTGGTCAGAGTATATCATCGTATATAGATAAAGTTAGAAACCTCCCCCGGTACAGAGTCCAAACTCACTCATGTAACGTGGCCCGCGCCATCTTATTCTTATGTAAAATTGCAGAAATATGGTACGTATTTTAATAAAACAGTGTTAATTTTGGAAGGTTACTTTATCGAGAAGATCAACTCTTTTTAAAAGGATTTATAATTTAAAGTATTTTATAAGATTTTTTGCGGTCATGATGGTAGGTCATTATTTCTGTATCAATTTTTGTGGGGTATATGCTTGATGGCGAGTTGAAATTCGGATTCAAGCCACTATCTTAAGTTTTTTCTATATACTTTATATACATTATATTATCAACATTATAGGGTAAAAAAACATTAATGTATGGTATAACGTTATATCAGAAGATTTTTATTAAGATTTGTACATAGTACATCATCTATAATACAATATTTTTTACAAGCATAACATCATTGTAATGGTAATAGCAAGCATGACATTATTTCAAAATTCTTAATCTTAATTTATCTAGTAACAAGAAAATTAAATGATAAATATGTATACTACGAACTAAAGAAGCAAAGACATACGAAAAGGAGAATGAGCTATTATGATGTTTAACGCTCAACATTTAACAGTGTGTTTCTCAAAGCAAGTGCTTCTTTAACAAATTTGGATAACTGAATTAATTCATATTTATTATTTGAGTTCAGTAATTGTAAAAATTTATAAACTGACGGGTTTCTGGTATATTTCTGGTATATTTAATTTTCAAATATTTTTTTCTTAACTCTGAATATCAACGACATATACAAACAAAATGAAATTCATCTTCAATGTCTGAGGTATTACAGCATAAACAATATCTTTCTTCTCTAACAATTCTATTTCTAGAATATCTGCCAGTTTGTATTCTCAAAGACAAAGTACTCATTCTTAATCTACAGAAATAAAATCTAAAACATCTTGGAAAGATATCCAAATAAAGTTCATACTCAAAACTACATTTAACATATCACGGAGGAAGGTCTTTCACGAGAACTTTTAATGTGGTTAAATACCTCTATCCCCTAGGAAAAAAACTGTTCACATATTGATTTTATTTTCAGAGGTTACCTCTAAGTATAACGTGGTTATGTCTGGGTGTTGTAGTGACTGTACTTGGACAGACTCCGCCCCATTACAACTACCCTTCCACCTGTGCACCAGCAAACTCGACCATTCTCGATCCATCTTGTAAGTAACATAGTATCATCGCAACAGCAAGAGATAGTAAAAGTCACAATACAGCCTCATGTATAGGCAACACAAAAATTAAAAAAATACTAGACTATAATTATCACTATCATGCAGGTTTCATCATTTTCTAAATAACATTAATGGCACTTTCTAATGACATGTGAAGTTGATTGGTAGTGTATTATAGTTTTGTTTTATCTTAAGTACCACAAAACAACCATCGTTACCTTATGGTGATAATAGTGTTAAGTACCGTCTACCACGAAACTACCGCCGTTTCCTTATAGTGTATAATAGTTTTGTTTTATTTAACGAATATACCGCCGTTTCCTTATAGTGTATAATAGTTTTATTTTATTTAAGGTACCGTCTAACACGAATATACCGCCATATTCTTATAGTGTATAATAGTTTTGTTTTATTTAAAGTACCGTTTACCACGAATCTACCGCCGTTACCTTATAGTGTATAATAGTTTTGTTTTATTTAAAGTACCGTCTACCACGAATCTATCACCGTTACCTTATAGTGTTTAATAGTTTTGTTTTATTTAAAGTACCGTCTACCACGAATCTACCGCCGTTTCCTTATAGTGTATAATAGTTTTGTTTTATTTAAAGTACCGTCTATAACGAATCTACCGCCGTTACCTTATAGTGTATTATAGTTTTGTTTTATTTAAAGTACCGCCTAACACGAATCTACTTCCGTTACCTTATAGTGTATAATAGTTTTGTTTTATTTAAAGTACCGTCTAACACGAATCTACCGCCGTTACCTTATAGTGTATTATAGTTTTGTTTTATTTAAAGTACCGGCTAACACGCCTCAACCACCGTTACCTAATATCCCGGACACGTTTCAATTACGGGTAGAAGCAAACATCATCAATAAACAACAAACCTGGTCTACTGAGGAATACTATGATGACATCAATAACCGTGCGGCACTCCGGTTGCTAAGGAATAACTCAATGGATTATATGATTTTCGATTACTCCACAAATCAGATCATATACGATGTCAGTAAGTTACTTTATAACTTTAACTTTACATTAAGTACAGTCAAGATCTATTTAAACAAATAATTTTGTCGTATATACAACGTGCTTAATAATAACGGCTAAAAGTATAATTAAATAGTAAGTGGATGATGAAGTTACGGACAATAGTAAGTGGAGGATGAAGTTACGGACAATAGTAAGTGGAGGATGAAGTTACGGACAATAGTAAGTGGAGGATGAAGTTACGGACAATAGTAAGTGGAGGATGAAGTTACGGACAATAGTAAGTGGAGGATGAAGTTACGGACAAGAAACACAGCAATTCCTAACAATGGTCACTTTGTGATGTACAGAATGAATCATTTTGACTGCCGCTCCACGTATACAGCCACTTTGACAATGGCGACAAAACTTGAAAATATTAATACTTATGAATATTCCTGCTCGAAATACATAAAAAAAATACCACTGAGCAAAATAGTTGATTCACTATGAAGGTAAGTGTGCATTATGAGACCGCAGCAAAATTAGTTAAAGTACCAAATAAATGAGTATAAACCTTTTTGGTGAACATTCATACATTTCAAGTTATCTTGTTATTTAGCATTTTAACATATCTTTATTTTTATCACCAGACAATAATTGTTCTGTGACGACCTTGAATAGAGACCCTTACGGAAATGAGTTTATTTTTGGCATGAAGGGAGTAGGAGGGGGTTCGAGCGGGATACCTCATATATATACGACTAGTTCAGCTCTTCATTTCGCTAAATCGAATGGTTTGGTAAGAATATCTTTCAATTTATTTTCCATTTCGTTGTTTCATTTTTTAAGCATTGAACTCACACATTAAAATGGATGGCTTATTAACCCATCACTTCATGAGAATTTTGTGAAAAATGGCTGTTTTCATTAAAAGTCTCCCGTTACAAGTTAAAATTGTTATAAAACTATAAAAACTGCTTCAATATTAATCAAACTTGGCACAAATGTTTACTGGACCATTGCATTTGCAACAACATGTCAGGCTTAAATTTCCTGTTACCATGGCAACGAGGGGACATCTCAAAATTGCCAAAAATCACTATTTTGCGTTGATTTTTTCCATCAAAATTGACTTTAAAGTGCTGCAACTTCTCAATGGATTGAGATAGAGTCAAACGCTTTTCAGCGTTGGTTACACGTTACCTTATTATCGATCTGCGGTCATTTTTAGCCTCTCACAAGTCCAAAATTTTCTTGGACTCCTCCGCCCCCTTCAAACCCCCCAAACAGAAGGGGGGACATCCCCCTTCTGGCAACCCCCTGATGTATCTTTTGGTTGGGGGTCGCCCCGAAAAAGTGGTCACTTTTTTAAACAACATTTCTTAAACAAAAAGTGTTGGGGCCTAAATAAGGCATTTTTTACCATTTGAGACACCAAAAGGGGGGGGGGTGAAATGGCGTTTAAAGGAGTATATATCGCGTAATGGGTTAAACACGTTGTTTATCAGTCTGAGAGAAACGACATATGTGATAATCAATATACTCAGATTATTGTTTATCCTTCCGTTAAGATGAAGTTTACAAATTAAAGGAAATGTTTATTATCCCTAAAGTTGTCAGAATGCATAGATCCCTGATCTGTTTAATTCTTATTATGAGATTAGTGGATACAGTGCGATTTTTTCATCACAACATGTTTGTCAACAAAAGAGCACATGTACATGTTTGTGGTCATTTAATCTATTGTTATTCAAATAAAAGGTGAGAGTAGGAATCTATCAAATGATAAAACCCAACAATATTACACACATGCCAATATGTATTATATTTTAGATGTATTATGTTTTAGATGTATTATATTTTAGATGTATTATATTTTAGATGTATCATATTTTAGATGTATTATGTTTTAGATTATGTTTTAGATGTATTATATTTTAGATGTATTATATTTTAGATGTATTATATTTTAGATGTATAAAGGAACCAAGGTTATACGAGGGATACAATGTGACTGGTGGCAATCTTGTATGTTCTGGCCAAACTTATTTGCCAACTTTACACTCGACTATTACTTCTCTGGTAAGTCAATTACTATACATAATTATTATTGTACCGTATGCAACACAATAGTGACCTTTATACAGTATATATATAATTGTTATAATAATGCAGGTTTGTAACGTCATTTTTCATTGGATAATCGTGACGTTTATAGTTTTATATACACGTCTGCTGTCCATTTATGAAGTAATCAAACTTATATCCTCTAAAAATGATGCTTTATGTATTATTGTTGACAGGTTAAACGGCCCTATATAAACGGCTGTTTGTAAATATAACCCGAGCCGTTAGGCCGTGGGTTTATATTGCAAATAAAAAGCAGCCGTTTCTATAACGGCCATATATCCTGTCAACAATTCTTTATAATGAATTTTATGTGTGTGTGTGTGTTGTGTGTGTGTTTGGTTTGTTTACCCTCGCCCACCGGGAATTTCTAATACAAACAGCAGCTCATTTTATACATAAAAGGTAAAATTTCTTCATGAATCGGCAGTAGCCAGTGTATATAAAACTAATATAAACGTCACGCATTATCCAATAAATGCGACGTTTACAAACGTGCAGTAAATTATACAGATTTTTTTTTATAAAAAGTGCACGTTTATAACGTCGCCCTTTTCCATTGGATAATCGTGACATCTATAATAGTTGATAAACTAAGCGGCTCGGTACATCATTTACAAACAACCGTTTATAACTTGTCAAAAATCTTTATAACTAATAATGTACACCGACTGCTGGTCAATTTTTATGAAAAAAATCTCACTTTTCTCGCTAAAAATGATGCTGGGCAAATTTATAAAATTCGTTTATTGAAATTACTGACGACAGGTTATATGACCGTATATAAATGGCTGTTTGCATATAACCCGTGCCTAGCTAACAGTAATAGTATAACATATGATTAGTAAATGAAATATATATTTTTTTTAATCTTATAGAAATATTTGCGGTAGTAGTTATAAATAAAACGACCATTCCCAAGCATTTTTGGGATATTCTGATATCTGGACAACACGAATTAGTTACAACTCACTTCCCAAAATTAAAAGTAATCCCATTAAACATGAACAAATGTAAATTAAACATTTCAGTAATATAACTGGACATCGCCAGATTTATCCAATCAAGTTCCAGTAATGGGGAGATAACAAGGCTTAGTCTTACTGGAAACTTTCATCACACATATGAATACTTTGACTACAGGAATCATATCTGGGACGCTGATTCTGTGTTTGATGTAAGTATTCAAGGTTATATATGTGTTTGATGTAAATATTCAAGGTTATATGTGTTTGATGTAAGCATTCAAGGTTAAATGTGTTTGATGTAAGAATTCATATTTATATGTATTTGATGTAAGTATTCAGTGTTATATGTGTTTGATGTAAGTATTCAAGATTATATGTATTTGATGTAAGTATTCAGTGTTACATGTGTTTGATGTAAGTATTCAAGATTATATGTATTTGATGTAAGTATTCAGGGTTATAAATGTTTAATGTGAGTATTCAGGGTTATATGTGTTTGATGTAAGTATTCAAGGTTATATGTGTTTGATGTAAGTATTCAAGATTATATGTATTTGATGTAAGTATTCAGTGTTATATGTGTTTGATGTAAGTATTCAAGGTTATATATGTATTTGATGTAAGAATTCAAGGTTATATATGTATTTGATGTAAGTATTCAGTGTTATATGTATTTGATGTAAGTATTCAAGGTTATATGAGTTTGATGTAAGTATTCAAGATTATATGTATTTTATGTAAGTATTCAGTGTTATATGTATTTGATGCAAGTATTCAAGATTATATTTATTTGATGTAAGTATTCAAGGCTATATGTATTTGATGTAAGTATTCAGGGTTATATGTGTTTGGTGTAAGAATTCAAGGTTATATATGTATTTGATGTAAGTATTCAGTGTTATATGTATTTGATGTAAGTATTCAAGGTTATATGAGTTTGACATAAGTGTTCAGGGTTATATGTATTTGATGTTAGTATTCAGGGTTATATGTATTTGATGTAAGAATTCAAGGTTATGTGTGTTTGATGTAAGTATTCAAGATTTTCAAAGGTTAACAATGTGTATCTAAGGTTTGCTGTATGTCTCCAAGTAATATGTATCCAAGGTTTATAAACTATAATTATACGTGTTTTCCAAGGCTTTGTATGTTCCTTTTGTTTATTCATGGGATTGTTTTAAAAGTTTTTGCTAAATTAAATTATTTACTTTTTCTACTTATACAAAATCACATCATGTGTTTCACGTGTAACTCATTTCGACCATACGTGTGTAACGTTCATACTTTGTATAAATATTATAGTGGATACTGGTATGAATGCGCCGTATCAGGTAAACCACCTTTGAAATGTTAATAATATATTATTATTGTCACCAACTATAGACACCACAAGGAATGGTTTGTCCAGGAAGAACTCAGACTAGAAAGGTTCCAGTACTATCCGGACAGTATTCTATAGAGAAGAAATTTTAAAATAATTTAAAAGAGGCGTTTCCCGAAAACAGAAAGTTAAAATTTTTTTTTATATCAAAACTATTTCCCCGAATGTGTCAATTCATTTAGAAAGTCCTCAAACAAAAGTGTTAACATAATTAATTTTGGAAAACCCCCCCCGGGAAAACCAAAATTTTTAAAAAAAAACCCCAAAAAATTCTATTTTACAAAACTAGACCCTTACCTTTTGCTTAAAAAACACAAAGGGTTTGATTTTTTTTTTCCAACCCCAATTAAATCTTTTAAGTTTTTATTTTTTTCTAAAGGAAAACTTTTTATAAAAATTAAAGATTTAATTTAAAAAAGTTAAAAGGTCACAAAGATTATACATATAATCTGGTTTTCGATTTGATAAAAGCCCCCCTTCCTCTAGAACCCTATTATGGGGACAAAAACCCTTGTTCCCGTGAAAAAACAAAACATTCTACAAAGGAAAAATTTAAAAATAATTATAAATACAGGACATTTAATTTTTATATTACCTGTTTTTAAAACGGGCATTTTTTATTAAAATAATTAAAATTTTGGCGTTTTTTATCATCCTTTTATAACGCGCAGTCCCCAATTTATGAAATTTTTTTTTTTTTCTTTATAAAAAAAAGTTTGGGAAATATCAAACGTTAAAAAGTGGGTTCATAAAAGGTTTTATGTAAAAAGAAAGAGCCCCCGAAACCGAAGCTATCTGATTTGTACGAGGGGGGTTTGCCCCCGGAGTTTAAATCAAGGATTGGCGAAGGTTTTTTTTGGGTTTTTGGGTTTCCCTTTTTCTTTTTGTTTCAAAGTCAAAAATGAACAGCACTTCCCCAAAAAACCCCGAAAAAAAAAACCAAAAAGAGGGGGCATTTTTAAAATGGAAAATTTTTTTGCCCCTTTCCCCCCTTTTTCCCCTGCCGTCACAAATGTAAAACCCCCGCAAAAAAAGAACCAAACAACGGGCTTATCTGGAAATGCCCGGGGGAAATTGGGGTCCCGCACTCGAGGGTTTCCGCACTGTGGCCCAAAAGTATAGTATACGATTTTAAAATCTGAAAACTTTTTTTAAAAGAAAAGGTCCCCAAACCCTTTATACAAGTAAAAAATATTTCAATTTCACAGTGCCCGGGGTTAACTGAGTGCAGGTATTAGTTACCCCCCATCCCCAATTATGCCCCTTGAATTTTTCAATTTTTTTGCTGGGGTTTTCTTATTTTAAAATTATTTTTGACGGCAGAGAAAAGGGGGAAAAGGGGGAGAAATATCAAAATTTTCCCAAAACTCGTTCATTGGTTTTTAAAATTTTTTCTTAGGGGTTTATTTATTTAGAACAGGGTACGTTTCTGTCATGTTTTGACTTTATTAATTTCCCAAAAAAGAAAGAAACCAAAACACTCGGCAAATCGTACAAAATCAGATTAGCCTCCGGTGTTTCGGTGCCTTTCTATTATTTATAAAAAGGATTTTTATATAAACGACTCGGGTTATTATATACAAACAAAATGTTCTTATTTTAGGGCCCCAAAATATAACCTTTCAAAAAAAATATATAACTAAATAATAATCATCATATATGTTTACGTTTTTCCCCTTGACTTTCATTAAACCAGTTTCGTTTCAGATTTCACTACTTGTTAGGGTTCTTTTAATTCATGCATGCCCTGGTTTTAAAACACGTAATAAAAATTTTACACTTAAAACTCATTAAAACATTCAGTTCTAAATAATATTAAACAAAATCTGAGTATACACTAGAAAAAGTAAGACATCGAAAAATTACAAAACAAAATTGATAAAGATATTTTTGATCTTCATTTCATTCACGTATATCAATAATTATGTTTGATATATTTTCAGGTATTGCCTACGGCTATCGACAATTAAATTTGGGTAATTGCTCCATGATCCCCATTACAAAAACACGACATTCGACGCGTCCCGTCAAACTCTCTGTGAACGCTAACCAGAGTCAACAATTCCTATATTTCAAATGAAATCTCCATCCCAGCTCTTCTATCCTCGATAATACATCCATATAACTTACGAAGGAACGGGTAAAAAAAAAAATATCTGTTTTCAAAACCGTAGTCCGTCGGTTGGTAAATATACGTGCTTTTGCCATCCCTTTTCCGGTTTTTGACAGAAGGCAACTCGTTGTGCTTTACAATTTTGCTAATTATTAATAATATTCCTTCATTTTAATATAGCACTCAGAAATTATCAAGCAACGTTTACTTCGACCGATTATCTTTATACATATATTAAGATAATTCTTATTTATACATAGCTCTCTCCATATTAGTTAAAGGATATAATTCCCATGTGGTGTTTTTTTTTGTTTCCTTTTTCGTATTAAAACTGTTTCTTTTACCTTTTTCCTTTCGTAACAACCTTAGTACTTAGTATTTTCATCCGGTATATAATTACTTTACTTTATGAACTATTTTCATGATATTATGTAGATAATTATTATACTTTTTTCAGAGAATGGTGCGAGGTATACTCTGTGACGTATTTATCTCAAATCGTACTGATTTTCCACTTGCCAAACTACAATACTTTCACATCTACATTCGAGTTTTACTTTATGAATGTAAGCCAAATGTTATAATGAAATCAGTTAGGTATATTTGACACGCTTATTAAAAGAGATATCTAGTCTAAAGAAAAGTTGTCTTATAGGGCCAATTAAACCCTAAATTGATATTATTTTTATTTCTCAAAAACTTTATATATTCGGTGTCCT